GGGGAGGGGGCTCTGGGGCCGGGCCGAGCTCTTCCGAGTGTGGATGGGGGGGCGTGCCCGGGCCGAGTCCATCGCCAAGTGCGAGTCAATGGAGCCTGGTGGGCCCCAGGCTCTAGCGGGGGGCGGCTGGGGCAAGGCTTGGTGCACCGGGGCCGTGGGCACCGGGCCAAAGGGCTTGGGGCGGGAAGCTCAGCTCAGGCTTTTGGGATCAGAGAGTGTGTGTGACACGCCGAGTGTGCAGGGAAGGGACGTGGGATGGATTGTGCAGGTGTCCCCAACTCTGGGTGCCTGGACGTGGATGGGGCTGTGTGCAAGGGCATAAGAGTGTGTATGACCCAAACCCTGGGATCCCGAGAGTCCAGCGGGCACACTGATCTTGCCAGATCTTGACTGTGTTGTGCCTGAGGGACTAGAAAGCCGTGGATGCAGGGTCAGCCCATAATCTCCTCTTGTGTGTGTGCCGTGTGTATGACCCCGAGCCCATGTGTCACCCATGAGTTAGACCCTGTATGGGCGGTGGGGTGGTGCCTTTGACAAGGCTGTGAGCTTGTGGGCTCTGTGGAGACAGGGTGTCCTGGTGCTAGAGCTGGGCTTTGAGGGTAACCAGCTCCCTGTGGTACCCTCAAGTTATGGTTTTCTTGCCGTGGGCACTGTCACCTAATTCCCTTATGGGGACCGGGACTACAGCACCCCTAATGCCTGCCTGATAGGGAGGCTTCTAGAAGGGTCCCAGATTAGGCAAATGTCCTGGGTGTGGGTTTGCACCCAAGCAGCATTCATGTGCCTGTCCCTAAGGCTGCATGAGCCACAGTGGGTGTGACTGCCAAGGGCCCTGGGAGTTGGGAGAGGATGACATTCCTTGCCCATGACCCTGTGAGCACAGGACAACGCGTGCTTGTAACCGTGGTGGCGGGAAGGAGGGGTCAGTCCAATGGTCAGTATTGTGTGAAGCTGAGGAACAAGATGATCCTGAGGGGGTGGAGACAGTGACACTGGTTGAGGGCCTCCCTGAGAGGTGGGGGTGGGCCCAGGGGGAGGCTGTGGGCGGGCCCATGGGGAGGTTGCGAGGGGTATGGGGGAGAGCTGGCTTCTAGCCCTGCCTTTGCCACTGACTGCCATGTGACCTTGAGTGACTCTCCCCTCTTTGGGTCTCAGTTTCCAGGTCTGTGGAGGAGGGGCAGGCTTTCTGTCCCATCCCTGTATTCCAGGATCTCAGTGAAGGGTGTGTGTGGGGGTGGGGCATGCCTTCGAAGAAACTTCCTCTTCTCTCCGAGGCCTGGGACAGAGGACAAGGGGTGATTTTTCTTCTATGAAGCTGAGGTGTGTGGCTGGGCCTCCGGACTGCCTTGGACTGTGGCAGAGCTGGAGGCTGAGTTAGGCGGTCTTTTCAGGTGACAGGAAGCCCTGACTCCTGGAACTGATGGCTATCTAGGAGGTCTGGGGGTGCTTGGGAACTGGCCAAAAGATGACCCAGTTCCAAAAAGCATCTTCCTGGGGGCCAGGGGAAGGGAGAACCGAGAAAGGTGGGAGGAGGCCAAGTCCCGATGGCCTGGGCCTACCTCAGGGTACCCTGCTGCAGCCCATCCTTGCACGTAGGATTGCCTAGGGCTGTAACCTGAGGGCTTTGCCTGCTGGGGAGGGAAGGGGAAGAATTCCAACTGCTACTGAAAGCCCCAGCATTAAAGGCCAAAGTGGCCAGAAACTTCTGTTTAGAAAAAGCTCTTATCCCAGGAGCATCTTGCCTGGCACAAGTGAGGCTGCTGCCTGCCTGCTGCTCACTCGCCAGCCTGGCTCTTGGGGCAGGCCTGTAGTCGGCGAGCCAAGTCTGGCCGAAATGGAACCATGGGGGTGCTCATCCTGGATGAGGCCAAACTGAGGAGGGCCTCACATCCCTGGGCAGGTCCCCTATCTTGGGTCTGTTTTCCTACAAGTGGGGCCAAAGTCTCAGGCCCCTCCCAGGCTCCAGGTATTTCCAGGGTTTGGAGCTGCAGGTCCCTGTCTTTGCTTCCTATGACCTTGGGTTTCTGCCTGTGACCCTCAGCTTATTCTTCTGCCTCTGCCAGACCAAGGTTCAAAAGCTGGCTCTGTCCTTTACAAGCTGCAAGACTTGGGCATGGTGCCGAACTTCTCTGGAGTCTTGGTTTCTTCATCTATAAAAGGAGGATAATGACACCTACCTTATGAGGTTGTCAGAGGACCAAATGAGATGCAGCGTCCTATGTGTTCAACGTGTAACTTCCCTCATCCTCTCTGGCACACCCACCCCTCAGCTCCTGACTGTCCTTGCGGGGTGGGGGTGGGGGGGTGGGGTGGGGTGCAGAAGTTCCAGGGGTTACTGACCTGGTAGGATCCTCAGATAATTGGGGAGTGATTTCCTAGGGAGCCTCAGGATAAGGAGTGGCTCAGGGAGCGCCCCCCAGTCTGGAGAGCAGGGAAATTAAAAGCAGAATCCAGTGCAATCCGGTGCAAAGGGAATCCTGGCCGCCATCTCTGGCCTTTCCCAGGCTCCCTCTCTAGGCCCAGTGTTTATCCCTCCGCTGCGGCTGCTGACACGCGTTGCTGACACCCGCCAGGCTGGCCTCAGCCTCAGGCACGGAGGAGGCAGCAGGCTGCTGGCGGCCTGCCCGGGGGAAGCCACGCAGCCCGCCTGTGGTCCAGGCGGAGGAGGGGGCGCGCCGCGCGGCCGGACCAGGCCAGGCACCTGTATCCGGGCTCAGGCACAGCTGCCTTCACCCCCTGCTGGGGACCCCAGTCCCAGCCATGCTTCCTGTGGCGGGGAGTCCCCGGGCGGCTGTGTGTGAGTGGAAAATGTGGGGAAGGGCTGGGAGTCCCCGATGCTGGGGTCCCCGCTCACGCGCACTCTCCTCCCCGCCCCCCAGGCCGTAAGTTCATCATCGCCAACGCTCGGGTAGAGAACTGCGCCGTCATCTACTGCAACGACGGCTTCTGCGAGCTGTGCGGCTACTCGCGGGCCGAGGTGATGCAACGACCCTGCACCTGCGACTTCCTGCACGGGCCGCGCACGCAGCGCCGCGCTGCCGCGCAGATCGCGCAGGCACTGCTGGGCGCCGAGGAGCGCAAAGTGGAGATCGCCTTCTACCGGAAAGATGGTAGGCGCGGGCCGGGGCGGGGCAATGACGAGGGGCGGGGTCAAGAGGGGTGGGACCACGGCGAGGGGCAGGGTGCGTGGGGGTGTGGGGGCGGCTGGAGAACGCAGCGAGCCCGGGCAAGGTTCTGTGGGGGCGTGACGCGGGCTGGGGTCCTGCGGTGTGCCTGTGGGAGGCGCGGTTCCGGGGCCTGCACCTCACTCTGCTGAGATGGTTTTCAGGGGGACAAAGGAGTTGCTAGGCTGTGGATCTGGCTCCTCTGGTCCTTTTTTTCCCTGGGCAGGTGTGGGCACCTAGAACAAGTTGGACTAGAGTTAGACCGAGCTGGGATGGCAGGTACAGGCGTGGATGGAGGTTAAAGGTCAGGCTGGCAGTTGGGCGCTGACCTCCGGCCACAGGCCCCTAGCTGCCTTAGGGCAGTTGGTGCCAGGTGACAGGTCTGGGAGATGTCACGGAGGGACAGGAGGGCTGCAGGACTCTGGCTTTCTCTGCTGTCCCCCTCCTGCCCTGAGCTTCAACAGCACCTGGGGGAAGTGAGTGCCTCTCCTGCAACCTCAGTTCCCTTTGTCTCAGCTGTCGAGCGCCCTGCCCTGCCACCCTCTCCTGCGCCAGGTGTCTTTACTCAGCCACCGCCTTCCAGCACAGCTGCTCTGGGCTTCCGGAGAGCGGATAAACAGAGCCCGGGGTGGGGCTGCTCCCACACCGTGAATGCCCTGTTGGGGTGGGCTCTGGTCAGGGTGGGCAGAGCAGGAGGACTGGGGTCCCGCGGGCAGAATCCTGCTACAGAGGCAGCTCTAGAATGTGTGCAAACCTTGCTGCTTCCTAGTGTGTGTCCCATAAGCATTTGCTCAACGCCTGTGAGCCTGGCAGGCGCTAGGCTCTTGGAGATGGGCAGGACAGACGAGGCTCCTGCCCTCAGGGAGCTTGTCTGCTGTAGACAGTGAGCACACTCTGTTTTCTGTTTGGGACCAGGCCAGCCAGCCCCATGTACCAGCCCTGTGTGCTCAAGGTTGTCTGGGGTGACCCTGCAAAGCCTTGCATCCTCCGGGCTGTGCTTTTGCAGGCGTGCACAGTCTGTGGCATCACTGGACAGCACTAGAGCGGGCACAGTCCCTGTCTCCTGTGGAAGAAGGTTTGCTCACAGCAAATCAGGATTCCAACTGGCAGGAGGCAGGGGCTATGAGGCTAGACTTAAACCCTGAAGGCAGTGGGTGGTTTCTAGGGGCTAGACACTGGGTCAAATGCTTTCCTTCTCTTATCTCATGCACTCTTCACAACGCAGGGAGGTAGACACTACTATTGTCTTCATCTTGGGGGATGAAGAAACTGAAGTTCACACAGTCACATAGCTAGAAAATAGCAGTTGGGAACGGAGCCCACATCTGTCTGGCCAGAGTTCTGTGCGCTGTGTTCTGTTATATATTGAAAACGATACCAGATAGTTACAGGTCTATCTGTACGCTGTACATTATCTCATGTGAAATTTTATTTTAAAAGTTTGCCAACCACAGGTGTAATGAAGGGACTATGAACCCGTAAGTCCTGGGTTTGTGTCTAAGACGGTGCTGGAAATTATACACTGTTGGACAAGTTGGTTGACTTCCCTGGGCCTGTTTCTACTTCTGGGATAACGTGTCTCACTTCGGACCTTCACGAGGGTGCTGGGCTTTCATAGAGAGTGCCTGCCACGGGCCGTCCTCTGTAAACACGGTGCCAGTTCCACTACGGATGTAGCTGTGCTGGGGATTTGGCCTCTTGGCAGCAGAGGCCGAGGGCTCTTTCCTTTGGCTGTGGTATGTGTGGAGTGCTCTTAGGTGGAGCTGGACCTCCCTCCTGGTCTAGGCTGGTCCCTTCTGGAGAGGATGACCATGGGCCCCCTTCTGCAGAAGAGTTATTGTGGGATCACCTAATCCAACCCATTCGAGTTGCAGGTGGAAGGATAGAGAAGCAGAGGTCTGATGACCAGTGAATCAGTGGAAGGAGTGGGATTAGAACCCAGGTCCCCGGCCCAAGTTCAAACTTGTCCCCTCTCCAGGTTACAACTCCAAAACATGGGGCTGTGACCCAGAAAACTCTATGCCAGCCATCTCTGTCTGTCCCCTTCTTCACTCTCACCTAGTTTCCATGGGGCTCAGGTGTCTCCTGTTGGCCAACAGGCTGGCCTGGAGCTCAGCCACCTAGGACCCCATGTATCCTGGCATTCTAGGCCTGGGGTGATGCAGACAGATTTCCTCAGCCTCCACTTCTTCTGCCTTGAAACACTCCGTCCCTCCTGTGGTCCCAGGGCCTGGCTTGGGCTGCATGTGTGCATGCCTGTGTGTGTACTCACACATGGGTGCAGTAGGGAGGTGGAGGTGAGGAATGCCTGTGCCACCCCTTGTTTCTGTCCAGGCCTTTCTCAGGGTCTCTGCCTGGGCCAGCCCCGGGTAGGGGGGAGCTGGGCAGGAGGTGGAGCCTTCTGCTGGCAGGCGCCGCCGTGGACAGCTGTGCTGTGTTGGTGCCTCTAGCCTTGCTCTGCGCAGTGTCAGGGCCTGGAGCCAGACAGCCCCATTATTTAGTTGCTGGGACTGCTGGGAGGTGGGGAGGCTAGACTGGGGGAGTGTGGGCTGAAGGGAGAGACACGAGGTGCCTGGGGCTCACTAGCCCTGTGCCCCTTGAAGTCAGGCCTGGGATTAAGGTGGAATTGGGGCCAGAGCCCAGTGGTGTGAGGCTGGCTGGTGGTAACATCCCCACAAGGCCCTGGGGAGGCACCCCAGGCAGCAGGTGCTGGCTGTGTCCACACCTGTGCTCCCACATCGCCATGGGGGCTGTGGCTCCTCCTCTGCCAGTCCTCACAGAGTCCCTTCTCTCTGTCCCCTGCATCCTCTCTGCTCTTTGTTCCTGCCTCTGCTCCCTGCTTCCCTGCCACTGTGCTCAGCCAGCCTGACTGTGCCCACCTTCTCGGCTCCTCTCCTGCTCCGCACATCTCCCTGCCTTTGTCTCCTGCCTGCCTGGTTGACTCTCTGTCCCTTGGTCTTTATCTCCTCTCTGGTGCCTCCCCCTGTCTTCTTCCCTCGCCTCAGCATCCCGGAGCCTTGCTCCTTGCCTCTCCCCCTCTCTCCCATTGTCCCCCACCCCTTGGAGCCTCTATCTGGAAGGCTCTGTCTGACTGCTCATACCTCCGACTGGCCTGGCCTGGCTCCATGTCCCTGTGTCCCCGGGAGCTTGTGCGTGGGTGGGGACGGGGGTGTCTCTGGAGAAGAGTCTATTGGCTTCTCCACTCCAGCTGCAGGCCGGTTGCCATGGTAACAGGGTCAGAGGGCCCCCACTGCAACAGCTGATGCTGTGGCCGTTGGGAGGGGGTGGGGACCTGCTGTCCAGGCCTGCTCCCCAGTGCACTGTGCCCAGGGCCTCAGAGGTGGCTCCATACCCAGTGGGCTTCTGTCCCTGGCCTTGGACCCCAGCCTCCCAGGTGCTCCAGCAGGCCTCAAGCCTCAGACTGCCTTGAAATCCTCAGTACCTCCTGTGATCAGCCCCACTCCTCTGGGCCTCCTGCCCTTCTCCATCCCCCAAGGCCATCTGTCCTGTCTTCTTCCTCGCCTTCCTTATCCCTTCCTGTGCCCATTCCTTTAAATCAGATGCCGTGCTCTGTCACCACCACGCCTCACCTTCTCCCTCATGGCTGACCCCTCCCCAGCTCAGACACCCACTCTTTGCTCCTTTTCAGCCGCCTAGGTCTGAGCTGGGGATGAAAGCAGCTTTTCCTCGAAGGGAAGCCTTGAGGCTGGGAAGGCAGGTGGGACAGGGATTGGTGCGTAAGTGGGTTTTGTCTTCTTGAGATAGGAGGTAGACCAGAGCGATCCCAGAGGACAGGGCTTAGACACAGGAGCATTTTTCCTGTGGGACTGAAGCTATCAGGGGAGTGTCCTTCATCCTGGGACAGGGATGTTCCTATCCTTTTGGCCAAGGCCTGGTGCAGCCTGGAGACAGGGCCAAGTGGGAGAATCTGCAGGGCTGCCAGATGCGGGCACAGGGGCCCGGGGGTCCATGGGGGCCCTGCCTCTGAGCAAGTTGCCTCTTGCCCTATAGCACCTTCCCTCCACATTTCCCTTCTCCAGCTGGATCAGAGGCCTGTTGGAGGGGCTCCACAGGGGTCATTCCTGAGCTGTGGCTGTCTGTCCTGGTCTGCTGGGGCTGCAGTCTTCCCATCCCAGGCCTGCTCCAGCGGTGAGGCAAGCATGACACAGTTGAAGGGTGCTATCTACTTCTCCACCCACCCTGGGGTCTGGAGAGCGGTGGGAGGGCGGCTTCTCCGTGTTGTGTCTTCTGCAGCCCCCGGAGAGGAGCTATGTAAATATTTGTGAAGAGCTGTCTGGGATGGGAGCAGAGTTTGATGGTGGCCTTGGGCTCTGGGGAGGGGGGCCGTGAGGCAGCAGAAGGGCCAGCTTGGGGGTGTGAGATGCGGGGAGACTGGGCCTCTTTTCTGCCCAGAGGTGCCTTCCTGGGTGGGGTGATTTTGGAGGTTCCAAGAAAGCCCGTCACGTGTCGGTATTTCCCTGAAGGGTTCCTGAAACTCCTCCCTTAGAGAACTTCTGCGTTTAGAATGCTCCTTTTTCTTTAAAAACACGTTGTCTCTCATTGCCCCCTCGCAATATAGAGACAAAAAGTATTTAGCCCTTTAGTGTGAGGGAGTTTAACAGAACTTCCCTCCGGTCGTGGGCAGGAGGGCAATGGGAGTCAGGGTCAGTAGAGGAGGGAGGGGTGCTGGGACGGGTGATGAATGTGGGGGGCTCCCCTAAAGTCCCCTCCATCCCCTTAGTCCTGCCCATGGAGATCTCTATGCTGTGGCCTGTGGTTGGCCTCAGATAAACCCCTCTCCTTTTTGGGTGCTTGTCCAGGATGAGAAACACCTTTAGGAGCCAGGCAGCGTCTTCCCCTTGGTCCTCCGCCTCTTGCAGTGCTGGAGAAGTTTCCCTGTCTGTCTCCCCCCACCAGGCCTTGAACTCTACGCGGGTGGAGAACAG